CAAATGAGCAAGTTAACCATATATCCACATATCCTATGGCAATTCATATCATAAGTATATAAATCTCATGAATCATTACAATGTCAATATATCAATGGACACATATTAACATTTCTTTTCAACACATTTACTAAGCATGTTATACATCATCATGTCATAACAACTTAATCCACGCATAGGCATTTTAGCAAACACCTTCAAGGCAACAATTCATGTTATCACACAAGGATTTTCACCTCATTCACAAAGTATAATATAAAACAGATAGCATGCTCATATAATCACCTTTCCCATAGAATTACCAACCAAGTAATTTTCACATCACAATTTAAAGCTAGGAAAATCTATTCCAACCCATTTACATACTCCTTTTTCATACCCATTTCACCCATGTCATATGCATAAATGAGTGAAATACATATTCCCTTTAACCCAAACATTTTATATAACACTATAAGTGGGAAATGAACCAAAGTAGGAGAACCCCTACCTCTTGAAGCATAAAACGACGTTGGGAAGCTCCAAGAACCCAAAACAATCTTGAATCCTCACTTTCCCAAAATCTCATTTTTCAACCTTTGGTGAAACTCGTCGTTTTTGGTGTGGTCGCGTAGCCCTTGGCGAGGAGAGCAACTTTTTCTCTTGGCCCGAGTGAATCCGAAGCCCGTGGAGTCGTAGATCGTAGAGAGAAGTGGAGAGCTCCTTCTTTTTCCCTCTCTTTCCCTCTCACGTTAACCGGCTGAAGAATGGGTGTGGAAGAAATCATATTTTCCCCTTTTTATACCCTCCATTTACTAGGCTCACATTGTGCCACACAGCCTCTTTTTTCGGGTTTGTTTTTGCCCTAAAACGATTTAATTTTAACCTGGTTCAAGTTCAAAATATTTTTATTTTAACTTGTCTTAACTTTTTTTTCAACTTTTAAAATTTTATCAAAAATCCCGTTTTTGAGTCACCCGATACCCGACCGCCTCGTAAAACATGAAAAATCTGACCATCTCGAAATTCCATGAAATTTAACGTGGTAACTAGATTTCGCAAGACGAATCCAACGATGAGGTCCGTTTCATCATTCAAGATCTAGAAAATTTTAAATTTTCAACCCGTACTATAGCGGCAAAATTTTCGTTTTGTCCTTATTTACAAAAGTTTAAATTTATTGGGTTTTACACAAGGGACCTCCTCTAGCAAAAATTTGTCTTCGTCTGGCCTCCTCTATGTCTCTCTCCACCAAATTTGCCAATTCCACTAGATCTTTGTATTCTCGAATCCTGAGTGCAACTAGCTTCTCGTAGATGGAAGGCCTCAAACCTTGTTCAAAGCATTTAGCTCTCTTTGCATCAATGGCCACAAACTCAATTACATAGCGAGACAACTCATCAAATTTTATTTCGTATTCAGTCACCGTCATGCTGCCCTACTTCAAAGCCAAGAAGTCCGCACTCATTCTATCCTTCATAGACTCAGGGAAGTATTTATCTTTAAAGATCTGAACAAACATCTCCTAAGTCATGGTATCCACTACATGCATTCATTTCACCAAATCCCGCTAGTGATGTGTTTCTCCTTCGAACAAATAGGTCGCTAGCCCCACCCGGAGATCAGCAGCAATCCCCATGCTATCCCACATTTTTCTCACCGTCCTAATCCACTTATTTGCCTCTATTAGATTAGAGCTTCTGTGGAAAGTGGGTGGGTGCTGTCGTAAGAATTCTCGCAACATCATCCTATGGTTTTCATTAACATCTCCTTGTCCCACCGCTAGTGGTTGTACTACCACATTCTGGTTGTGGTTTCTATTCTGGTTCTATACCAGAGTGGTTAACTTCCGTAGGCATTGGTAGATACCATTCATAGCATCCAGTGGAGGTGGTGGTGGCGAGTTAACGAAACCTTCACGTCCTCGTCCTCGTCCTCGTCCTCGTCCTCGTCCTCGTCCTTGTCCCCTTCTATTTTCCATTCTGCACAACAAAGTTCAGTTTAGTTTCCTTATCATACAAGAAACCTAATTCACCCTAGAGTCTAAAGCCTAAGGACTGTTATTATACTCAATTCTATAATTTCATTCTTCCTAAACCTAACTTTCTAGTGGTAATCCATAACATATAGCTCACATGTAAGACCTAAAACCTAAGCTCTGATACCAAACATGTAACGCCCCAAAATCCACCGTAGAAGTAATTACTATCTATAAAATATTACAGATTTTAGTAGCGAGAAGGATGTTGAGTTAGATAAGCAGATTGATCTCGAGGTTAGAGATGGTCAGTATGAGGATCCTGAAGTGGAAACTTGCAGATGCTTCGTTTTAGTTCTAATTATTGAATTTGGAGAGATTTTTTGAAACAACGTTTCAGTTAGTTTTATTATTCCACTGTTAGATACTATTTGGTTTTAAATTGTAAATTGGAAAAATTATGATATTTTATTGGTTTAGTATTTATTCTTTATCAGGTAGATGAATAGTTTATTATCTAATGATTAGTTGTTCTTGTGGTTTGATGGTTTATATATAGTAATGCCTTAGAGGATGATTTTTGGGGTGATATAGAAAATTTTGCTCAATTTATTTTTTTTAGGAGAAATTGTAAGTACACGAAATTAGAACTATTTGTCAAAAAGTACATAGCTCTAAATGTTAGGTAATTAAGACCTTATTTTTAGAGCTTAATTGTGTTCAAGTACACAATTTGATATGTTGTGAATTTCTTTTTTTTGGACTTATTTGTCCTCCCTTAAATCATGCATATTTCTTTTGATAGTTAATTAGATTTTTTATTTTAGTTTATTGTATTAAAGATTTCCTAATATAATGGAATAATTATATTATAACAAGCTTTGCATATAATGTTGATCATGTATATCTTTGTCATTTTGAATTTTAAATTTTTTTGTCATTATCGTTGCCAGTAAACATCTCTCTATTATCCTATTCCAAATTATCAGCAATTAACATTCAAAAAAACTCAAACATATCATTCTTAATATTCCCTAACAAACACGAAAAAGTTTAAATATATTGTATTTCTTTTTCTACAACGTTTATATATTATCAGGTTGAACTTATATATATATATATATATAAGAAAATTTATTTACGATAAAAGGGTATTCAAGTATTTCTATGTCTTAAGTGGACTTTTTTACTAATTTTTTTTTTCTTTTTGGACAATTAAGTCCAATTTCGTGTAACGGCTTCCAAATGACCCATTTTTTTAACAATTTATTGGATCCAAATAATTATTTGGGCTTATAAATGGATTAGGTACATTACTTTTCTCTTGGTTATGCTCATTTTTTTTAGTTGTCAATTTTATTTTTTTTTGGTTACATAGTGCCTTAACTAGTACATTAATAAAGGTAGAGCGGTTTTAAAAAATATTAAAGTGAATCAAGCAATCTCTCTCATCTTCAAAGTTTCACTAGCTTAAGGAGTCCAGAAGAACTTAATTGAGCAGCCGTGAACAACTTATCTAAGCTATTATTTGCTTTCTTTTTTATGGCAGGAAGCTACTATTTGCTTTCACCTATGTGTATTTTAGACACCTATGTAACCACACAGATTGACCTCACCCGCCTGGAAGCGTGTTAGAGAGTTTTGTTTCCGCCTACTAAAAAGAGACTACATTTGTTCGAGTTTTAAGAAAATCTTACGTAAATGAATTGTTTAGGTCGGACAGTGGTTTGCTGTGAATCACACAATTAGCTGGGTATGATTCTTAAAAACATTACGAATTTTTATGCTTAACATTCTTACTGGTTGGCATTCATAAATTAGAAGGTGCCCCTTATCTTGACATATTTGTGTACAAGTAGTACCTCGTGTCTAAAAACACTTTACAATATCAAAAAAATAAACATTAATCATATAATATTTATATTTAAATAGTAATTTTTTTCTTTTTTTCTTTCATTACATAATTTAAAATTAAAGTGAAGAGAAAAAATAAGAGAAATGTAAGAGAGAGAAAAGAGAGATGTATAAATTTGTGACACTTTAACAATACGAATGTATTGGTTAAATTGTTTAACATTGGTGATCATGCCGAGAAACTAATGTTTTTTTTGGGAAAATGAAACTAAAGTTTTTTTACTGAGGAAACAATTTTGGGATTAATGTTATACCATTGGATCAAAATAAATAAAAAATAGATTAATCTTAACTGTTATTATATCCTTTCTTTAGTTCAACAACGTAATTGTAATATTAGATAAATAAAAAAATTGATCACTAAAGCATAAATTGTCTGCTAAATCAGTCAAATCAAGTACGAAAAGTTTGAATTGAGGTTGAACACACATGTAGGAAAGCTTGCTTTAGATAAGTTTAATTTGCAAGCTGGCTTGATTAATACACCATTCTGGATAGACGAATTAAGAGAGAGAAACAATTCGAAGGAAACATAAATACTAATGTGATTTTCACGGTGAACCAGACATGTTTCCAGTTGCTTAACACTGTTATGGTATTTTGTTCTTGTTTCACCACCACGATTTGTGCCAATGACTCCACCCAAGGATTATAGGTGAAATCCGGGACCTGTTCAAAGGCCACACTTCAAATGCATAGAGGCTAGCCTCAGCTCAAAAGCCAGCGAGCACGCACGCGCGCACACACACACACAGGGACTTCCACTGTACTCTGTATCCCCATGTTAAACAAGCCCCGAGTATAGACATCTAAGCTTGATTAACCCCTTGCAACAGCATTCAAAACCCACCCCCAGCCCCCCTCATCATTATCAGGTGGACAGATCCACCCCGGTATTGTATCATACATTCTTGCATCTTAGCCATTGAGGCCCCAGTTTCTATCCACAACGGTCATCCACATGAAAGTGCATAGAGCAAATTCATATTTATCTCCCAACTAGTAGGGATGGTGGCCATTATTCCTCGAAATTAGTCCTTGATTCTCCCTCACCTGCTACACCCGAAATCAGAATGAACTCTTTCTACATCAAGTAATTTCTGAGACATTCTCAAACCAAATTTCATCACACAACAATATGCTTCTGTTTGCATAAAACTTATGATTACAATAAGTTCATGGTCCAATACACCACCAGTTGTGTTGTGAATATTACTCTAGACAATGCATATATCAAAAAAATCTATTCATGTTTCTTTACCTTGAACTGACCCTTCGGAATTTTGCTGAGGACACCAGCATCCAGCTTCCGATAGTGGTGCTGGAGCTGTTCAATGACATTGTATACGAAACCGTCAACTTGATCCTCATACCTCTCATATAGAACAGGCAAAGTGTGGGCAGCAACAAAACCTTAATGAACAAATAAAAATGGTTTCCATTTCAAATATACAGACAAAAGTAACTATGTTAGGTACTATAGCAAAGCAGGTCCCAGAAGTAATCCTAGAAAACATGAAATGTTTTTTTTTTTTTTTTTGCATATGAAACTTAGAAGTTATGGGAATGCAGCATAACATAGACACTGCTAATAGTATTCCAGGGACTTCAAATGGCAGGAAGATGTCGTCCTTTCAGTGAAGAGAAGGCACTTTCCAGAAAATACAGTTATTTATCTGTCCCATTCTTCTGTGACTTCTTTGATAAATGATAATATTTCTAAATAATGTAGCCTATAAACAACAGTACACTGTCGGAGATAAGCAGCCCCTACACAGCACTGCCAACAAACTTCATCTTCAGATTTCCAATTTGAATACAAGAATGGAGTCGTTAAAAGAAAATTGTATGTAAATAACCATACAACTCATGCATCCCACAGAGCAGTTACATGATAAAAATAGCTAACCACCTTTCAATTTAACCATATATGCCCTATCAAATAGCAATTTTGTAGTACTAGCCTTGCAGTATAGGATCCAAAACTATGAGATTATGGGCATCTCAAGTTTACCAATTTTTATCATAAAGCCAAACAACTTGATACATCAAAATCAAGTAGATTTCAGAGAAAATTATTAGAATTAACTCACTCTGAACCTATACTGCAGTATTTGTCATTGATTTTCAGTACAAGAGTCTCTTCCAATCAAACTTGAACAGGTCTTAACTATCTAAATGCCAAAATTTTGCGACTAAATGTGGATAACCAAGACACAAATAATACTACTCCCTTTTGTAAAGTAAGATATTTAAATTTCTCCTTGCATTGGTGGGGATAAAGATGGCCACATATTCATAAGCATTTACTGAATTGGATTGACTAAAATAACGCCAATTCGATCTACTCCACCTATAACTATAAAAACTTTGTTGTCAAAAATAGAAAGAGCTCTCACCAATATACAGAACAGTTAAAAAATTGCACCAGCTTCCAATGATAGCAGCAGCCCACAAGCTTGCCACAACCTTGAAAAAATTTCAAACGTCAACTTAGCTGTCACCATGAACATTACTGGAAAAAATGAAAGCTAAATAGGCAACATAATTTGTTAGCAGCAGCCTTGTATTGAACTAATTTTTGTCCAATCTATGGTTCAAGGTCACAATATAGACCATCGATTCGGAAGGCACTAACACGAAGGCCAAGATGTTTCCCAAAACAGCAAAAAGATCTAAGCCAGCCTTGAAACTATAGAGTCGGTTGCGGAATCACAGAATGATATCAGATGATATGCATGAAATTCTGGATAGAACAAGTTGGAAATGACAAGAAATCCAATCAATATAGCAGTGTCATGGATGGTATCGGCTGATTCGACAATGGTGACTTGAACTACCCAGGGTTGACTAGGAGACATCTTGGAGAACTTGGCCAAATCCCATGAGATTTGTACTTTACATGGAATGTAGAAGGGAAGGTGTCAAGTCAAATACAGCTTGGCCAAGACGTATCAGTTTCGAACGATACATTAGACCATGAAATAAATAGTATACTGCTCCAAAGTGAAACAATAGCACAACAGATAATGACCAAAAAAAAAAAGGTAGCAAGGAATATTATTTTGTCCCTGGCAATCATCCTTCTGTGTATCATTTCAATAGTTTGTGGTAGCGAAGTCTACTGGTTTGCCAAGTAGAATAAGGTGCACCATCTGGTTTACAAGCATATGCATCGCAAATTACATGAGTGAAGATAGGTTAAACATACCACTAGAAATTGCTTCATATTTCGTCCACAGGCAACATCCTGAACAAAACCCAAAAACACATTCACCTGAGCACCAACAGTGACGGCAATGTTGACAAATAATTCTTCAGGCAGAACAAGTCGAGGAATAGATGGAGACCTGATGCCATTGAGAAACATCACTATAAATGTAGAGCTTAAGAATGATTACAGGCAACATAACCCAACTAAGAAAATAAAGCATGGCAGTATATACTTTTAGATCACCTGTTTAATAGTGCCGAAGCATTTGACCAAACAAACTGGGCAACCATACCAATAGCCAGAGCAATGGATAAAAGAGAGAGGAAATTGTAATTAAGCCATTCAAAGAGCACCCAGATGGCTGTAGCACCAGTCAAAACACTAGCTGATATCTTCTTGTTCCTCCATAACAGCACATCAGCAGCTACACATTGAATTAAGTATTATCTTCAATGAGAGGACGAATTACATTACCACAGCTGGAAAAAGAAGAATCATAACAGAAAAAAAAGATTGTACATTTGCCACCCCCCAAAATATGGTGGACAGGTTTCTGGCGCCCAAACAGCTTATTGAACTGAGAAGTGACTGAGTTTGACTTTTCCTCCTCAAAAAACGACACAGATTTCTGCTTTGAAACACTGTCAGAAAGTGTTTCCATGAAGTTGAAAAGATTCTCAGCCGTAATTCCCTCTGGCATTATTCCTACGGTTTATCAGAAAAAAAAATAAAAAAAAATAATCACCAAAGAATTATGAATCTATAAAAGCTGATAAAAAACATTGATAATATTAATGTGTGGCCATGGTGGATCTGCATACAACATGGTAATACTGTGCACAGACTAACTAAAAGAATAGTAGCTGCTCTAGTGATACTTGGGTAATAGAGAAAGAGGATACATTTCAGTAGGGCAAACACTAACTAAGCAGTAAATGTAATTAAAATAAACTTCCTTATTCAAGTACTCCACCGGCCAACTCATCTAAAACATCAATTATACCAAATATTGTTATAAGATCCTCAAATCGACCGCTTCCTTTCGCATTTGGGGAGTTTATCTTATTTGTTTCAGGCATGTGATTTCTAAAGTGATTTTAAAAGTTCATTGAGTTAAAAATGGTATTTTGGGTGAGTTAGCAAATGATGGCTTGGCATGAGTTGGGAAAAAAGGGAATTTCATGTTGTGAGTTAAGTTGCTCTAAGATATACTCCTTATTTATATGGGTTTGTTATAAAGTTTATGTACTATCACTATGCCTGCTCATTGTATTCTTTAAGTAAAATGGTTACGTATGTTATATGCATTGTTGATTTTGCATTTGAAACTGTTAGTCTTAATCTCTATATTTGATATAGGTTAATTAGTCTAGGGTAATATTGTAATTACTTTCATATTTCTCAGATATAAATAGTGTAGGGCAACCTAGTCACTACATAGAATAGATTACTCTCCCTTGCCTCTTCTTCTCTCTTTCTCTTCTCTCTTGTTTCTCTAATCCTAATATTTTATTTACTATTTCAACTTGGTATTAGAGCACTAGTTCGTGACAATATAACATCAAAAAAAAAATCAGAGGATCAGCAACTCATTTGACAGACTCGTCATAATCTGACGTCATGCTAATGTCAACACTTTTCAACAGCAGTGACACATTACCTAGCTCAGTTTTCTGTGCTGAATTTTGTGATAATTTTTGTTTAATTTTTTGAAGTCGTCTAGATGGAGTTTTCTATTTTCGAATAATTTTCATGAATATAGGACTTATTTTTTTGATCTGCTGACTGGAGGGTTTTTCTTGAGGTTTGTTGCTTTGATCCATCACAGACAGTCCGGCTTGGAGCTTGGAGAGTTGGTTTCACTTACCCAGCCTTGCTGGAGTGTTTTGGTGTTTTTTTGTGCCGGCAACTCTCGTGACTCCTTTGGTTAACTAACTGCTTCGGTGACTCTTCTTGGTGTGTTCTTGATTTCCTGTGACCACTTTGGCTCTTGTACTAAGCTGTTTTCTAGTGGCTTGGGTGCTTGGGCAGTAGCCTGTGTGCTACGGCAGTAGCCAGTGTGTGCTTCTGGGCTTCACCGTGAATTGTTGGTGTGACTGTGGGTGCCCATTGAGTCATCTTTGGGCTTCAATTGGTGCTCTATTCATTGGTTGGGTTGTTCACTTTTTTTTTTTTTTTTTTTTTTGG